CGGAGCAGTGGGGAGTAGTTCAAGCGCAGCCGTCTCTGCCAGGTGTCTCAAAGAGGAAGCGGACCGTGGCGGTCAAGGACGCCGAACGAAAAGGTGTCGAGTAGGGATGGTAGGGTTCTTCATGCACCTTTGTAACATCCACTTTGACCTCAAATTTAAATGGGTTCCTAGTGTAGGTCTTTGGGGCAGATGCCTCTTTAATTCAGTACGTAGAGGCTTTTGGATAACGTCTACCGAGGAACACCACAATCCCTTTCCACTGGCGCTACCGAGCAGCTTAAAGCAATGTACCCGAAACGATGGATGCAAAACGACACATCAAGATGCGTCCCATCCCCGGCCGGTGGGGGTTATTCGGAGTTACATGTGCAGATTTAGGCTTCGGGGTCTAGGTCCGAGATGTTCGCGTGTTTTAATATCCTGCGTTCCGGGGCTGGGTCTGTTCTAAGCTTCGGCGCACGTCGCGGTTTGTTGCAGCATGGACCCCGAGCATCCGAGTGCCAGCACAATGGAGGAGACTACCGGAGGACATCCATGCGAGGGCGACGAGGAGGCACCTGCAGCCAGCACTTGTGCCGGTGCTTTTGAAGCTGGCAGAAGGGGTGTATAATGCAGGGTTTCAGGCTTTTTGTTCGGGCCTGTCGTTGAGTGATTGGCTCCGGAACTCGAAACCATAACCTCCAAAGCATTCCTGGGACCCCCCCCCCTCCAACCCTTAAGCCTTGACATGCAATCCAAAGCACCCTACACAATCCCCCGACTCGTCGGCTTCTATAAACAAAACCCCAAACCCGAAACCCTCTAAGATCCTGAGAATTCTAGAAACCCCTATATGTCCCTCACCCCACTGTTCCAGCACAGGATCTCGGACGCTGCAACGACGTGGATTGCCCCCTCGACTGCCAGCAGGGGCCTCGGACGGGTTTCAGGGTTTTGGGGGCTGTAGGGTTCTCGGGTTCGGGTTCAGGGCTTTGGGGTGTAGGGCTCTGCGTTTCAGAGGGCTTGGAGGCAAAAGACTGAGGATCAGCAATGGCCTCTCTGAGTGCTATTGCTTCATGTCTGTTGTAAAGGGTGAGGGCCTTTGGGGTGTCCTCCTTGAAGATGTATTGGGTACCTGAGAGAAGTGCAGGGGCAAGGACCATCGTTAGAGTGACATTTCAACGACACACCATGCTGCTCTTCTGCAACGTGCATAATCATGTCGTCGTCGTGGAGTTGTGATGAAAGCACAGTTGAGTCGAACGGCAGTTTTGTCAGTGGTGATAGACTTCGTCAGGTGATGTAACTAGTATTTCTGTTGTGGTTGTTGTTGGTGGTGGCCTCCTATCGCGGCTGTTCAATTTTAATTTCGTCCATCTTCCGACACCAAGCAGAGCCTCCATCGACCTTCCGCAAGGTGGGGTGACTGGACGTCGTGGTCAGACTGCACCGCGTCGTGTGACGGAGGTGTACGGCAGAGGCGCACTTGCATGGTTGCTGTGTCGGATACCACCCAAACTCATGGAAGGGAGAAGCCCCTGTACATGGAGCAGCACAGAAGTTGTGTTTTCCCCCAGCGGCGTCCATACTTTTATGCACAGCCACAAGATTTGCCTGTCGGATAGGGCACAGGGCCCTAGACACGAAGTTTGTTTAGGGTGTTTCGGTTTCGAGGGTTCAAGGTTTAGACGCCGAAACTGAGGGAAACACAACAAGCATGACACAAACCATCATATATAGTCGTAAACCCTTAACTTTATAGTACTTGGCAATCATAGCAACTCTTTGTGGCTGCCCTGAGTTTATGAAAGCATCGGTGATAGTAAGCCTCATACCAACCCGAATCTACAGAAGCCCTCAAATTCATTAAAGCAGCGGTTACAGAAAGCCTCAGAGCGGCCAGGGAAAAGCCAGTGATCCTGGAGGCGCTCCTTGGTAAAAGACAGGCGCTGCACGGGAAGCGTGCTTTAGGGCTTCTTCAGGGCCTTTGGGCTTGGGCTTTTGGGGGTTTAGGGTGTGAAGGCATTTTTGGTTTAGGGGTTTAGGCTTCTAGACTTGAGTGTTTTAGGGTCTATGAGCTTTAGGATTAGCGGACCACAGGGGTCCTATAATGTTGCTCCAAGGTTGCCAGAAGGGTTGCTAGAAGGGCTTTCTATGAGGTTTAACCGAACTTGAGTTAAGGGTAGGTCATAACCCCTAAGCCTTAAACCCTAAACCTCTAAGCCTTAAGCCCTAAACCCTAAACCCTAATCCCATAGTACAAGTAAGTCTTGAGGAAGATATGGGGAGGAGGTGACCTCTTATTCAGAGCTCTGTGGTAGTTAGTGTGTTCTTGTTGTTCAGCTTACGGTTGCTCGATATAGGGCCGCACTACGTTCGAAATACTGCACTCTCATTCTGTTTGTCTTGATTGTTGACGGTGAGCTGCCTAACATGCATTGTCGGTTTGATGATGCTTCGCTGTGTTTCTGCGTGCTGTCATTCTACTGAGCTTTCATTTTTATACTTTGAAAAGTTCCTATTATGCTTAACATAAGTCTTTGAGATCCGGGTCCAAAGCTGGGGCAACCCTCGGTGCCAATTTTGTGGTTTCGTTGGGCCAATAACGGGTGTCAAGAAAGTGGTTTTAGGATTTGGTCCCACCCTCGCCCCCGCCCCCCGCCCCACCCGCCCCGCCCCCCTGCCCCGCCCTGCCCCGCTCCGGAGGCCGGGACATGGCGGGGCGGGGGGGGCGGGGCTGTTGGGGCCGGGCCGGCGGGGTGGCGGGCGGGCCAGCTGGTGGGCGGGCGAGGTGGGGGGGGGGAGGACCAAGGGCAGGGCACTCCACGCCCGTCTCCTGCTCCACCCCCTTGACAAAGCTTGTGAAGAAGCGTGCATAACCAGTCCGCAAACTAGGACAGTGTGCATAACGAGGCCACCCAAACAAATGGATCGGGAGCGCTTTAAGCCTGCACCATCGGTGTGCATCCAACCAGCCCCCAAAATAGGACAGTGTTAAGCATAAGAAGGCCACCCAAACAAACGTATTCCATTAGGTCCGCGCCGAAAACCCTTGATTCCCGCACCAACGTCCAGCCAGTAGGCGTGCACCGAAAAGTCGGCCAGTGTTAAGCATAATAGGCCCTTTTCAAGTTATACTTTGGCTTCAGGGACAGTGACCTACCACGTAGGTACTTGGGGTTCCGGGCTGTTGCCGACGCTTTCGACTTGCTACCGTAGATCGGGTTTTGGTGTACATGGGAGTTTCCGAAAATTAGGGGTACCTTATTTTGGGGCCCTTATAATAAGGATCCTATTATTTGGGGTACTATATTAGGGTCCCCTATTTTCGGAAGCCCCCACATAGTTCATTGATATGGGGACGACCTTGGCATACTGGTACTGAGCATTCATCCTACATCCGAAACGCTGTGCCAGCAACCTGCTAACTTGTTTGGCTTGCTGACGATACTCAGCGAATAGATACACCTGGGACGAAGAACTAGGAAGCCTGTTTAGACATAGATGCGAGGTCGAACACTTCGTCTCGGAGAATCCGTTAATGGTGCAGGGGTTTGAGCCGCTCTTACTTTGTACTGTTACTTAAAGGATCATGGGACTTAGTAAGTAGGGTTATAACTGTAAGGTAACTATACTTATAACCCCAATTAGGGGACTTACAACCTTACTTACTAAGCCCCATGATCCTCCAAGTACCTGTAAACCGAGCGACCTAAACTCGAAGGGTTCAGGATTCAGACCCTTGCAGCCAAGGAATGCCCAGGGGCATGCCTGCAGCCTCGAAGACGGTGTGGAAGTAGGCCTGGTCACGCAAAAAAAGCCGTCAGCATGTAGAGGGAGCTGTGTGTTTCCTGGATTGAGCTGCTGTTTTGGTAGTGGTGGTTGGTGGTGGTGGTGATGCTGATGCTGTTGTTGGTGCTGGTGCTGGTGCCGTTGCTGCTGCTGCCGCCGCCGCCGCCGCCGCTGCTGCTGCTGCTGCTGCTGCTGCTGCTGCTGGTGCTGGTGTTGATGTTGGTGTGGCTGTCGTTGTCGTTGTCGTATCGTCCTCGCCGTAGTCGTTGTTGCGGCAACCATAGTCGT